AATAAACCTTGATCAGTGATCAAGACACTGGCCCTTCTTAGCCACAATGTCTCTTCATCAACCGGGCATGGCATCGATGCCATTCCTCCAATATGAAGAAAGGCGCGACGCAGTTCATTCATCTACCACCTACTTGACTTCTCCACAGTGGGTGAATTTTTTTTTGAAGAGCAGGCCTATGGGGATCTGCAAGTATGCCGGTCATGTGGGTTGAGGTCACGTGAATAAGGGGGGAGCGGATTAACCAGGTTATAGCAAGACATTAACATCATCAGGAGTGATCAAGCATTAACAGTTACAATCGAAAATTTCCCCGTCATCGGTGCGAAATGAGGACTCGAATCACCATCTCCTCAATCGGCAATAGAATACTCTTGCCTTCACTGCAGTACACTCTAAAAGACACCCGGTTGAGCTGAGGAAGAACGAGCTCTTGCCTTTCTTGGCATGAGCGCCTCACTATATAGCGGACTGTGGCCTTACGTCCGCTGTTATGCATTGCAATTTCCTGCGTGGAATTTCATACTACATCTTTTTATCCTGAGCAATAACGAAGTCGGTTGATGTCGTTGTTCATTTACAGTCAAGGAATTTCTGACACACACTAACTCGCACTCGACGCTCCTGCTCAGTCAAAGACTACGCGATATTTGCAGAGATCTGCTTTGAAAGCGACTTTCGCGTAGAACGTCGTAGAGATCGTCTTTTCCTTTTTGAGACTTCAAGGAGGATTGCTCTGACGGAAGGTCAAAACAGTGTCGGCATCTGAGGACAGTGGACGTTCGTTTCGACAAATTTCGTCAAAGCAAATCTCTTTTCAGGGAAAGTGATCGTGCCATTAATGGTTGGTGACAAGAGAGCGTCACTGCTGCCATTCAGTCACCATATCTCATTCCAAGTAGTGTCGAAACGATCAGTTTCGTAATGATAAAGCAGAAGGATCCGCTAGTCTTATCGATGGCACATCGTTCAGTCGACGGTTACTTACTTCGAACGATAACGTCAAATACCGATCAGCTATAGTATCGATCTACCAACAATGCCCCTTTCCCAACTATCGAATCTACACCCTTGCTTAGCGCGTTCGTGAGCAACATGCTTTCGAACTTGACAGGCAAAATTTTCTCAAAACTTCACCTTAATAGTTGGGGGTAGAACAATGGTTCTTACTGATTTTTTTTGGAGACAATGTTTGACTGTGTTGCTAGGAAACGCTCACGTACCAGATTACTATCAAAAAAACATTTATTGGAAGACATGAGACGCGCACGATACCGTGCGCGTGTCATGCCTTCCAATAAATGCATTTCCTGGTATGCTAACTGACATATTTATACATAGAATAAAAGAAATAAGCTTGATTAAGAAATCGGTGGTACAAATAACGTACCTTCAAAGTGCTCTCCGTATGTCTTGCGATGTATCTTACAAACGGTCGCAAATCGCCATGATTCGCAGTGATTAGGGTTGCGTAGTATTCAGCGCGCGACTCGACTGGCAGAATCACAGGGGGAAAGCCGGCTCTCATCAGAATCAAGTTCAAAAGTAGCCGAGCCGTCCGACCGTTACCATCAATGAATGGATGGACGACAACCTGAGAAATCGAATTCTGATGAATGCGGAGATAGGGAGGTGCGAGCATTCACAAAGTTCCAAA